TAAAAATAATGATCGAAAATTTTCCAAATACAGAGAAAGAAGTAAACAAAATTAAATGAGGCATATAGAACCCCAAATAGTCATGATCAATCCAAGAGAAGCTCTGATCTTAATTTTTCACTTCAGTATAATACAGGGTTTACAGGGGAATATTGAAACTGGCTTTACATTTAGTTTGGCCTTTTATAGCTATGTTAAAAACAGATATACATGAGAATTTTGTAATTACTCTGCTTCATAAATGAACAGTTTTCCATAAATGAATCCAGTATATAAGACAATTCATTTCTGTTCCAAGGCATTGCAACTGAAAACAGTCTAACAATTCCTATAAAACAGCATTTGTATCTTGCTCTTACATGTATTGTTTGACTATTTTGGGAGGTAAACCTTAGAATTTGATTCAACTAATTGTTTAAAAGTATTTTTATGACATTGGTTTGATTTGAATCATGGAAAATATTTAATCTTTTCAAAGAATATTTTCAAAACTAGTATGATATTTCAAGATTATGTCCAATCATGATTTAAGAAACAAATTTTTTCCTTGTTTGCTTAAACGCTGGTGGAATTTACTAAGGATTTACTCTAATATTTACCAGAATTAGATGAGCAGGTGTGGAATGTTGTGTTTAATTAATGTTAGAGACCCTAGAAGAAAGGAAATGCTTTTAAAGTTGAATGTCACTTAGATGTATTTTTGAAACTTATTTCATCCAAATCCTCCACTGATCATCAGGAAAATTTGCTTGCCATTAACAGAGAAGGAAATTATTACAAACAAGATGAATAGAAGCAGACTAATGTGTTACTGCCATGTTTAGTTTCCTTAACTGTGTCCAGGGAAGACCATGTCTTACTGGATTCCCATACAGTTGATCTGTAAAAACAATAATCATAATTTAAAAAACCATAAGAATTTTTGAAAAGCACTTCAATCAGACTTCATGAATCCTTCTGATTGATAGTCTATGTTTAACTTCTAAGACAACGAGCAAAGTCGTCTGACTGGGCAAATAACTATCCGGAGAGACACAAATCACTCCATGTATGAAGACTGCATGGGAGTTTAGGGACCCCAGGTGAGTGCTCTCTCTTAATTACTCAGTAAACTGAATTTCGGTGAGGTCACATCTTATTCAAGTTTTCATTTTGAGTTACTGGAAAAACCAGCTTGAAACTTTTATTTCTTGCCTCAGAACCACTCTGTTTTCCAGCTGGTGATTGTTTTGTCCAAAGGTTAGAGCATAGGAAAGACAATTTCTGAGGAAGAAATAGAGCAAAGAAAAAGAAGAAATGTGAAAGCAAAGATTATCATACCCTGTGATATATGAGAACCTAAATATTTACCTAGGGAGCCTAAAAACTGATCATTTGTTAGATGTCAAACTTTCTGAGAGTCATTTACACTTCCGTTCATTTAAGTGTGTGACGCTGGATGGGTGTTTGGTTACTACTGATTGGTCCAGTTCAGTTGTGGGCATGGACAATGGTAAGGCCCACCCTGGATGTGGGTGGCACCACCCAAAATCCAGGTAACCTGGATGGATATAAAAACACGGAAAGAAGGCAGTCTGCTTGTTTCTGTACTGCTTCACTACTTACTGCCTTTTACCCACCATGAATTATTTCTCCTCTGTGATGCCCCTGTGCCATGCAACCCTGCCTTGGAGACAGCTGACTATGAACTGAAACCTCTACAAACTCTAAGCTAAATAAAGCTTTCCTCAGTTAACTTTGGATACTAGATATTTGCCTCAACAACAAAAATGTAACTAAGAAAGTCACATATTTGAAATGTCAGTAAGAATATTTACATAACAGGAATCAGCAAACACTATTATACAGAACTCTGTGGGGTTTTCTTGTGTTGTTTTGTTTTTTCTGTTCTGTTTTGTACCTCAATGGAGCCAAACACTGACCATTCTCTAGAACATGACTACATGTAATCCACTTGTATTTTAAGTGCTTGATATCTCAAGTCTGCTATCATTTGGCCACAGTTGCATTGATCATTCGGGGTTTAAATTTGCTAACAGAACAAGACATGCTTATATGTTCTTTTGAAGATCGTCACTGTATTCTACATAGCATTAGTTATGATCAAGAGGCTCCCCTTACACAAAATTAGTACAGCAAAGGCACCAGGTTCAAGGATTTCACTGGTCTTACCATGCACCCCACCATCCTGAAGATACTGGCGTGGTGGAACATGCCCTTTGAAGACATACTTACAGCACCAGCTTAATTGCAGTACTCTGCTGTGCTGAGCCAGGGTTCTTCAGAAGTCAACAAATAATCTAAGTTCCTGTCTCATGTATAATGTTGTTGTAAAACAATCTCAAATATATCAATTTAGATTTAAAGCAACGCTTGCATGAGCACAATAGGATGCAAATTCACAGAAAATTTACATGAGGCATGAGAGCCATGCTAGGAGCAGTGACTTGTAGACAAAAGCACCAGCATCTTGATCCCCAACAAAGCAGTAGACCAGACTCACTGACTGTCCTGGCTCATCATGCACATAGAAGCACAGGCAGATTAGCTCCATCAATGCATGAGCAATCTGCCAGCCACCCTCTCAAACATCCTTCCTCCCACAAGTGCATTAAAGTGTTTGCCCTGTCAATCTCTGTGAAGCTTCAGCTTCATTTACAGAAGGCTGCATAGGAAAACAACAGGTTTATGAAAATGTCATTGAAGGTTTTTCCCTACAATAATGACCATAGGATTTTTGTAAAGATCTTAAGTCAGCCATTATTTTAGTATAACATTAAGTGTATTTTTAAAAGGGAGAAACAGGTCAGTTGATAAGGATGTAGGCACTGAGATTTTTGTCATAAAAGGTAGCTTGCTACAGACACACACTATGATAAATATTGTAACTGAAGGGATTTCCAGACAAAGTTCGAATTGATTTTGTCCCAGGACTACACTGACAATAAAAATGCTGCTCCTGAGGTAAGATGGGATGCTCTTTAGATGTGACGTAGCAGGGATACCTGAAAGATAAGGTAGAATTCCCAAAAACCTAGTCTTGCCAAATAAAGGGTAAAAAAAGAAGAATGGAAGACAGACAGAAATGAATGAGGAGATGAAAACAGGTAACACATAGGAGGAATAGCATCTGTTATAGATAAATGCATTCTAAATTAATATTCATATTTAAGGTCCTAACCCTTATATAAAATTGGAATATTAGAGATTTTTCTAAAACTTATTATTCATTCTTTTTTCTCTTTAAGCCACCTTCCACTTAGGATTCTTGTATTTTTAAATCTAGTGACCTAAAAGTTTTTCTCCTACTAGAGTATTTCTGCTGAAGAACACACTCTGAGTCATCCAAGCAGACAGCAAATATGCCTATGTGGTTTTTTTTTTTTTTTTTCACACTCCATTTCAACTCAGGCTATGTAGGCAATCAATACACAGTGTAAAGTAACAGGAGCATGCTTGGATACTTATCTCTGTATGCCTGAATTACCACCTCCAAACAGCCTCAAATGGTAGTGATAAGTCAACAGTGGCAAAATACTATCACAGACTGTGCTTATTTGGAAAATCATCTTTACATGTTAGGCCAGGGTTTCATAGGTATCCACTAATCTATCCTTATGGAGCATGATCTCTAATTTACAAATCTGGAACACTTTTATATTTTCTTACTGATAAATTGATTATTTTACATATGGATATAATTATTTAAATAATTTATTTAACCACACACTCTAATTCAGTAATTCTTAAAAATATATCTAAAATATATTTGCATAATTGACATAAAGGATTCAAGATTAAGACACCAAGATCATCCAGCAATTATCTGTGCTTCTGGTAAACACCAGGTTAAAGAGTTAATCATGCACCAAGATACTTTGAAAAGACCTTTAAAAAAAAAAAAACTAGATGAGAGATTACAGTGTCTGGTTCTAACATAATAAAAAGAATAAAGAAAATTGCAAAAAGGATAGATTTTCCTCTCTCATAGCCCTTCCTTCAACTATAATCATGAAACGAGATAACTTCTGATCAAGGAGGAGGAAATTAAGTCAAGTTTTAGACTTAAAACCTAAAACACTAAGCCTGTTACTGTTAGTGCCAATTCCAAGACTGGACCACTACAATAGCATCATCCAGGCCACAGATTTCCACCTCCACCTTCCCTCCTCTATTACATCAGTCAGGAAATAAGCTATGTTATTTAACAAAGGACTTCATTCTTAGAGTTCAGTACTGGTGCTACTCAGTGAGATTAAGGAGGCAGAATCAAAAAGCCTAGGCCCAGGACAGACTTTATACATGGAGTCTCTAGATATGCCCTGATATCAGCTGGAGATCTGCTAGCTAATGAGACAAACTCAAATTTCAGCATGCATTACTAGCAACTTTGGAGTGGTCCTGGGTACTCATACCCACACCATCACACTGTGTAAATCTCTGCCGTTGTGACTCTCAGGATAAATACAAGTTTAGCCTTTTCAGAAATGGTGTTGTCTATGGTGACAAAAGGATTATTTCCATCACCCAATTTCCCAGTATCAGGCAATATGGCAATTTCCAGGCCAGGGCTGAGAGATGAAGCATCTGTACTTGTCCTAGCACCAGGTGGAGACCCCTATTACACTGGATGTTTAGCCAGTATCATTGGTGGCTGGAGTGCTCCTGAGACTGTTCAGCTCTTTGGAACTCTGAGACTCAGACATGACCCTACTTTAGCCTATATGGACAATAGGACTCCCGTCAACAACATTATCCCAACCTTCAGTAGCATAGCATGTATCAAGATTCGAGTCACGGAGAATAGACAGTGCAGAAAATGCAGAAACGGCAATGATTCCCTGTCGGTGTCGCTCCCGGCCAGCAGGAAGAACACACGACAAGATCTGGCGGTGGCAAGGCGCTTTTATTTTCTCTCCCTTTCACAGTCTGCCCCGGGAATCCTCCCGGCCGAAGCCTCTGTTGGTCCGCTCCCCGCGGCTCCTTCCGTGCTTCTCCCTCTGGCGGAAGAGGCACTAGCATATATGCGATTACAGCAGCCAATCAGATCAAAGCGGGTAATGCAAGCTGGTTGGCTAGCTTCAGTAGTTACTAGGCAGACTGTTCTGCTGGTCGGGTTGTTTACGCAGCATGATCAATCAGGAAGCAGGAAGCAGGCGCCATCTTAGCACACTCGATGGGAGGGGTAATCTAGCTCAGGCTTTGCTCTTTCCTACAGGCCTCATGTCCGCCAAGTAAGGCGACCGGGCTCGGCCGTGGCTCCCAATATCTCCCCCTATTTTATTTTACAAGAACGAGCGCATCGCAGCCCGTCCTGGATCGAGCATAGAGGCCTACGCCCTGTATCTGAGGCCCACTGCAGGCCTTTGGGTTGGAACCCGGGCGGCCGTCCCAGGGTCCACCAAGGCCTTGAGGCCCTCGTCCTTTTTTCCAGGGCCAGGGATAGGTCAGACGGAACCTGGGTGCACATAGGCATACGCTCACGTCTCTCCTTATGATCCCCTTTGGAGAGGCATCTAGATTCGGGGCGGAATCTAGCGATCCAGCGGCTTTCGTGCGCCATGGGGTAGGGCCTGGTTTAGGTTGAGTCGTGCTGGGGAGGCACGCTCTTACCCGTCATTGACTCACCCACCCTGCTACATGTTGTTGTCTAGGGAGGAGAATGTGGGAAGCCTGTCACTTTTAAACGCGGTCGTAGGCCATGCGAGCGAGCCATGCGTATGCCTGGGGGTCGTTTTGCCCGTTCTGGACCGCTGCCAGAGCAGCATGGGCAACCATGCGGACCTGACGACATGCCGCCGCAAGGCGTCCATTAATGAACGATGTGACCCATCGGAGCAAGCATGGTCCTATAAGCAGGAGCAAGAACAAGGAGCATAAAGGGCCTAACAAGGGTAGCACATAGGGGAGCAAGCCGTTCCAGGCCCCCAAAAAGGGATTGTCCTGCAGTTCTTTTAGGGCTCATCTTGTTGTTGGGTCTGCGGTTGGCCTCTGGTGGAACAGGCCTGATCTTCAGTCGAGGGACTTGTCACACGCGTCAACCTCTCTGGGACCCACAGTGGTTCTCGTCCCGGTCCCTGCGGAAAGACACAAACCGCGCCTCGGTTCCAGCTAACCACTGGATCCGGGCCCATCCAATGTCCCGTCAGGACATCTTTCCATCTAACCCATCCTTTATTTTTTGGGGATGGGGTACAATGTGCCATAGCTGGGGAGCAATTTTCACTGTTTAAGTTTAAAAAATTGTATGTGAATAATGCCATAGATAACCGCGCCTTTGGAGGCAGGCCTTGGCTTACGATGTTGGGAGCCGCGGCCGAGCAAGAAATGGCGGCCTGGGCATCACTTCCGACACTGACTGAAGAGGGGGTAGGTCCCACGCGGCGGCTTCGCGGCGAGGGACCGCTTCCGGGAATGGGTTCCAGGATGGAGCGGATGGTTCTGTCTCCTTTTCCCGCCAGGGGGCGCTCAGGAGCTCCCTACTCTTTAGTAAGCCTACCTGAGCAGAGCGTAGGTCGCGACGCTACGTGGCAAAAGGGCCCCGCGCCTTCTCTTTATCTGACTCGGCCTCCTGGCAATCGGCCTTCTCGGCCCCTTCGCCTTCTAAGTCCCCCTCGTCCTCGGTGTCGGACGACTCCGAGGCTTGAGCCTCGGCTTCCTCTTTTGTATCTCTGCCCTCCTTGACGGACCCTTCTCGGGAGCTTCCTGACTGTGCCTGTTCAAACACCTTGCGTACTTCTACAAGTTCTTGAGAGCTCCCCCCGTAACTACCCTCACTCTTTAGGCACGCGTGTATCATTTCCCACAACGGACGAGCAGAGACCGAAGCTCTACCCTCCCGTTCTGCTAGGGAAAGGTCTCTGCCCAACTTTTCCCAGGAGGGTAGGTTTACATGCCCTGTAGGCAGAAACCAGGGAGCAAAGCTGTCAATTTCTGCAAGGAAATTTTCTAAAGTCTTACGCCCCACCTTGAGGTCCTTGGACTTTAGGAGTCTCCGAAGGACCAACACCAAGGGCTAAGCATCTTTGTCCGGTATGTTTCCCATATTTATATCTTGTTGTGTTCTATTATTTTGACTCACCTCGTGAGGCCTAGGAGACCGGCCACTTACGCGTGAGCTCGAGAGGAGTCTAAAAACCCTGTAGGTGCGCGCCACCCAGGGCCCAGGTTTATCCTCTACTCACCTGTCCTGCAGCACTGTGTTGGAGACTGCTGTCCACTGCCACGTCTCGGGGCTGATCAGTTCCCCGTACGGGCCACCAGATGTCGGTGTCGCTCCCAGCCGGCAGGAAGAACACACGACAAGATCTGGCAGTGGCAAGGCGCTTTTATTTTCTCTCCCTTTCACAGTCTGCCCCGGGAATCCTCCCGGCCGAAGCCTCTGTTGGTCCGCTCCCCGCGGCTCCTTCCGTGCTTCTCCCTCTGGCGGAAGAGGCGCTAGCATATATGCGATTACAGCAGCCAATCAGATCAAAGCGGGTAATGCAAGCTGGTTGGCTAGCTTCAGTAGTTACTAGGCAGACTGTTCTGCTGGTCGGGTTGTTTACGCAGCATGATCAATCAGGAAGCAGGAAGCAGGCGCCATCTTAGCACACTCGATGGGAGGGGTAATCTAGCTCAGGCTTTGCTCTTTCCTACAGGCCTCACGTCCGCCAAGTAAGGCGACCGGGCTCGGCCGCGGCTCCCAACAATTCCCATTTCCACAGAAGTGTCTTTGTACAAGCCTCTTTAACTACGTGGAGAAACACTGTCCCAGTCTATAGGACTTCTAGTCCATTCATCATCATGAGTGAATAATTCGGTGGGTCTTGGACTATGAGTCAAGCTTATCACTAGGCATATGACAATAGTGTGAGCTTTGGTCCTGCCCTAATGCACCACTGGGTTTAAGTATGCTATAGTACGCTATAGCTTAGCATGTGACATATGTTGTGAAACATGAGGGACAACAGCCATGGCATAAATACCTGGGATTGAGCTTTCCACAGTGATCCTGTCCAGAGCTGAACAGAGTTGTATAGTGCCTGACCACAACTGGTGACTGTGAATGAAGCATCTGAATCTACCCCCAGTCTCATAGTGAGGCTTGGGGCAGACGGGTGACTCTTTATCGGTATTCTTCCAGATGTTGTTGAACACCAAACAAATTTTAGATCTGAATAAACCTGGGATTAGAACACCTTTTAGTACAGAAACAGTAACAACACATCAACAAAAGAATCATAAAATCTGGATATAAAGAGGTTCCTTGTGCTAAACCAGTGGGAAAAATAAACAGCCTGCATAGGATGTTTGGAAAAACCACACAAACAAAACCAGATGATGAAGACAGGAGTAAACACCTAATCCTCAATGTCCAGACAGCATCACACAACAGACATAAGAGCTTTCAGAAAACTTTGTCCTCCTCTAACAGTGAAAATAAGGTATGGCATTATAACATGACCATGCCAGGAAAAAGTAACAGTGAAATCTCATGGAGCTGAAGAAAACATTGTCTGAGAACATGGTACCTACCAAAACTAAGAAATTAAGAAAATATAAAAACATGCTCAAATAAAATGTGAGATAAAATATTCCCACCAGATGAGAAATGCTAGAGTTCTTCAAAATGAAAAGCACATTAATAAGTATACAAAAACATTAGTAGGTATACATTCACTGTAAAGAATAACTCTAAATAAAAATTCAAAATGTTGTAGTATTGTTAACACATCATATAAACTTTTCATAGTTACATTATGTAGCTAAAAAGCAAAACAACTAAAGATGTTAATAACTACATTAATACTTTAAAAGTAGGCAGTGGACAAAGATGTTAAAGAAACATCAAGAATTCAAGCTATGTGAAAGAATAGAGTACAAGCAGAAAGGATAGTTTTAAATTGTTATTTTTTATTTCTTTTCTGATCTTGTAACTTTTTAGATGTGATTGATATTTCATGATCATGTTATATGGATATCATATCAAACTAGCTTGTTATAGTCAAAAGATTTTTGAAAGCCTCATGGTAAATGCAGAGTAAATATCTGCAAAAGACAAGAAAAAATAATAAGCAAGTGACCAAAACATACCACTAGAATAAACTGACTAACCTTGAAGGAAGCCCATAAAACAGTGAGGAAAAAGAACAAAGGAATTTTAATAAAAATTAGATAACAAATTACACAATGGCTCTGGGAAGATATCCCACCTTGATAATTACTTTAAATATATACAAGGTAAATTAATTAATTTAAGTTAAATTATGGAGTGACTTAAATGTTCAACATTAAATTTTTATAGAGCAAGTCAACCTAGCTATTAAGAAACTTACTTCAATTCTAAAGCCACGTATGAACTAAAAGTGAAGTGAGGGAATAAGTTACTCCATGTCAGTCTAAAAGAAAGCAGGAGTGGTTATGCTTAAATGACATATAATATGTTTTAAATCAAAAACAATACAAAGACATAAAGAAGGTCACTATATAGTGATACAGAGTTCAATTAAAAAAGAAGAGCTATCCATTAATGGTGCACCCAACTACATAAAGCAAATATTAATAAACCTACTGAGAGAGATGATATATTATTTAGGATTCTCTGAAGGAACGCCACCTTTTTATGTGCATTAATTTATGCAAGGAATCGCACCTTACTAAAAATCTTTTGAACAACAAAAGAAATCACCAACAGACTGAAAAGACAATCCATGGAATGGAAAAAAATATAGCCAGTTGTCCCTCAGACAGAGGATTTAAATCTAGGATATATAAAGAGTTGAAAAACTCAGGCTCCCCAAATTCAAAGACCCAATGCAAAAATGGGCATCTGAGATGATCACACACATCTCAGATGAAGACATACAAATGACCAATAAATATATGAAAAAATGTTCAACATCATTGGTCATTAAAGAGATGCATATTAAAAAAAAAACACTAAAGTTCCGTCTCACTCCAGAAAGAATGGCTGTCATCAATAAATCAACACGTAACTAATGCTAGTGGGGCTGTGGAGAAAAGACTCCTTCTCCATTTTGTTGCAAGTGTAGACTGGTATAACCACTGTGGAAATCAGTGTGGAGATTCCTCAAAACACTAAGATTGGAGGTCCCATTCAATCCAGCTATTCCCCTCCTGGGTATTTTCCCGAAAGAATTAATAACATTATACCACAGTGATATATGCTCATCCTTGTTTATAGTAACATAGTTTGTAATAGCTTGATCTTGGAAACAACCCAAATGCCCATCTTCCATGGAATAAATGTTCATAGCAGCATAGTTTGTAACAGCTAAATCTTGCAAACAACTCATATGTCCATCAACAAATGAACAGATAAAGAAGGTGTGGAGGGTTTTTATACAATGGGGTGCTATTCAGCCATAAACTTGAGACATTTTTAGGTAAATGGACACATCTTAAAGCTATACTCTTAAGTGAAATAAATCAGAACCACATGTATAAATACCTTGGCTTTTCTGGTGTGAGAAGCCGCAAGTGTAAATAAGGACCAAAATGTACAATAGATATTATGAAACAGAAAGAAAATGCTCAGCTAGGAAGGGGAACTATGGAGGGAGAAGGGGAAAAGGAAGAAACAAAAAATAAAACATTGATACAGGAAGGAAAAAATGAAACAAAGCTTTTTAAATAAGGAAGAGAAGCTGGGTTGGAGGGAGGGAAGGGGACTGGGAAATAAAGAGATTCAAGATATGTCATGTACAGGTACAGATTCCCTACGAGGAATGTGATTAGTATGTGTATCTAAAATGTACCAATAAACTTAACTAATTAAATTGTAATCCAATTACAGATGAATAAAACTAGATCCATATATTTCATCAGTTTAAAAAATGTACTCAAAGTGAATTAAAGACTTAAATGTAAGTTTTCAAAATATGAAAGAGCTAGACAAACATATGGAGTAACATTTTAGAACACGAATTGACAAGAATTTTTGGACAAGATCCCTCAAAGTGTAGGGGAATAAAGCAAAAGAAGAAAACAGGATTACAACAAATTAAACATTTCTTCACAGCAAAAGAGATACTGAAAAGAGTGCAGAGACAACCTATACAATAGAAAAGTATCTGCAAACTATACATCTGACAAGAAGCTGATATAAAAACCCTGTAAGGAATTGCAAAAGTTTAGAAGAAAAAAGGAAAATGAAAATGACTCAACTATAGACACATGGCTGAATCTGGGAATAATTATGTTAAACGCAATAATACAAGCACAGAAGAATAATTACCACATGATCTCAGTTGTGTATGAATTATAAAAGTTTAGGTCATAGTAAAATGTGTCTACCCAGCCTGAAAAGAGCAGATGAGAGGAACAATAAGACTGGAAAAGGCTGACCAATTAGTAGTAAGTTACAGTAAGATAAGAGGAAGAAATTTAATGCATTTTGGTACCGTAAGATGACTACATACACAATACCTATCGTATATTTCCAAAAGCTACAAGAAATTATTTTCATACAAAGAAACTGATAAATGTTTGGAAACATACATTTATCCCAGCTTAAATGTTATGCACTGTGTACATGTACTGAAACATCACATTATTCTACTTAAGTGAATGATTTTTATGTTTTAATATCTCCATTACAATAAAGGACCCTGAAATGAAGTGCATTTTAAAATATGCATTCATTACTTTTTATCACAACAATGAATCTTTAAACTCAGAGTTTAATAATTTCCAGGTCAGACTTAGAGCTCTCTGATGGTTTTTGAGAATTTGGAAATGTTGTGGAGAAAAAAGGTCCATATTTAAACTACAGTGGGGTAACCATTTTTTAATCACTTGTTTTTATCTAAGATCTGTTCTATTTAAATAGTAGCACAAACTTGAAATGATAAGCTTGCTAGAAAGACACTTGATATGTCTTTTAGAATGATTCAATCTTCTAAAACTTCCAAAAGCCCTGATTAGACTTTTCTTGGTAAACAAAAACTGAATTCTACGTACAATGAACATGAGACAAAAGTCCCTTTTGGTCATTTAAAATCTTTAAGAAATCTCTTTAATGTTCTATTTAGTGTTATAAGTGTGTGTGTGTGTGTGTGTGTGTGTGTGTGTGTGTGTGTGTTTGCATACATTTGTTTTTCTCAATATGCAGTGTACGGGTTTAGAGAAAGCCTGAGTACATCAGTAGTGATCTAGTAACAACATTCTGTTCTTATCTTTGTTCTACATTTATTCATTGTAATATATCAGGAAAAACATTTACCTCTCAGTTTCTTCATTAATAAAATAACAATAAATCATATCTCACACTCCCACAAACTAAATTAGTTTCATAGCTCTCAGAATTTAAACTATGATGCAATACTTAGGTCTCTTTCTTGATGTACTGAGATTGAGGTTGTGTACCTTGAAATAAACTTTTATAAAGATTCCCTGTAAAACCATGTAGATTTGCCCTTTACTAGCTTTAGTTTCTTATGTGACATACAGGGAAGCAAAAGTTTAGACTTTGGGAATTTTATTCCACTTAAAAATGTATTTTTAATTGCAGCATTTTTATGTTTCAGCTTTGAAATTGCTAAGTAAAGCAGAAGCTATGTAAGAGCTGTTTATTTCTGTGTTCAAAAGATCATAGCTTTTTTCTCAATAAAATATGTGTATGTAACTTAAAAGAGAGGTTATAAA